CATCAGTAGCCAGAGGGGTCAGGTGATACCCAGAGAGGATTAGCGTTCACTCTGCTTGGGGTTTGTATGATAATGCCAGGGCCTCTTGCCTCAGATAACTGGAAATTAGACAGCTGCACTAAGAGAGGGTAATGCATATTTCTAGAGGAAGGAACCTTGCCCTGGCCTCAAACCTTCTTCTGGGAGGCATGCACACCAGGTATCCGAAAGGCTGGCTTTTTTCCTGTTCCTCTTAGGAGCCTGCATGCTGAGGAGATGAAAGGGGGCAGGCAAGGAATGGGTGGGGTTCCCTGTCCCCCAGTTTGCTCCTGGGCCACACTGTCCCCTAGAACATTCCTTCACGCACTCCGTGTATTAAAATTGTTAGCTTTGTGGCTGTGGCACACAGGGATCACATAGAATTAACTCTGATGGGGTTAAGCCTCCTTGGCATCAGCTGATTTCTTTAATTCTTGTTAGAGTTTTTCTTGTGAGTGGTGGTGGTTTTTAGACTGCAGAATGATATTTCCAGATAGTAACTAAGGACTGCTTTTTAACATTTTTCTGCAAACCAGAAATCACCATGCCAGTCTCACAAGTACAGTAAAAAGTAGCAAAAGTTGCCTTTTTTTTTTGGTGCTAAGTCTACAGGTTATTTGATCACTGTGATAGGGCTGGTGCCAGCTTACAGGGGAGGGTGTAGCTATTTCAGATTATCTAGAGTAGGGGATAAATTCCTTGAAAGTTTCTGGGAAATTATATTTTCCCATTCCTGGGGCAGCAGACTCTAGACAGCTATTTGTTTCAGGTAATACCTTATTTTCCCTAGTGATACCATCAGCTGATAAAAGGGAATTAGGCATTGACCTTAACTTTCCTCTCGCAGGTTGCTAGATTTCCATAGGAACGCACTTCCTCCTCTTTTCCTGACCCTCGGTGCTAATGCCTTCCAGAAAAATCCTTGGGTTTATAAAGACATTTGGTGTTAGTTACTGCTTTCACAGCTGGGCTTTCTCTTTGATAAGTAGGAGCCTTTCGCCATCCCCCTGGTTTGATATCTGGCTGGTCACCTTCTTTGGCCTTAGGGACTCACCTGCCCCAGGGGAGGAGATTGGAGCTGATTTGCCTTCTTACCAAAGGAAACAGGTTTAGTGCACCTGCTCAGATTCCTGCTCTTTAGTCAAGAATTGTTTCTGGCCCAGACCCCTCGCTCCCTGACTGGTATCTAAGTGGGTCTGATAGGTTGGAGGTGGGGATGAAGCATTTGTAAAGTCGCTCCTGCTACAGTATTGTTTCCCCTCCAGCGTGCCCCACCCTGTCTAGTCAGATGAAGTCAACAGTAAATTATTTCAACAGAAGTCTGAATACCCACAATGTGCCAGGCACTGAGCAGTGGTGACTAAAGCAAAGTGGAAAAATGTACGGTACTTTAGCAAGAAGGAATAACTTTGAATTTGTCCTCTTCAGGAATATGGCAATTGATCACATGATTTCTAGCATTCATAAATGATCACAGTGTTCTAAATTCTTGTGTTTTACATGATATCTGAGCCATAAGTCCCAGTGTCTTTAAAGAAAAAAGTTAAAATCATAATCTGTAGCTGTTCTTACAGGTTTTTACTATTACGTCAGACTCTAATTCTTCAAGGTGGTTTGTGAAGTTTTCATTAAGTAGGTACAGTCCACTTTAATTCTTGAACAAAGTTAAAGTAGGCTGAAAGTTAAAGTTTTGATAGTTCCCGGTTTGTACACTTACTGTATACTTTTCCCACGTGTCCTAAGTGACACTGTTACATAAGGGATATTGACGTTAAGCTTTCTTCCAGCTTCACTCTTACAAACATTGGCTAGGAGGAAGTAACAGCCATCTTTGCATATTTTACCACCTGCCTACAGTCGGAAAGGTGTTGGAGCCAGCTAAGGAGCTAATGTCATGCTCCGGGTCAATGATGCTTTGGAGGTCTGTCCAGACCAGGGTCTGTCAGCACTGCTGGCCTGAAATCGCCTCCTCCCCTGGCTCGCTCCCTTCCTGATCCCTGAGGCTTGCGTGCTCTTGGATGTCAACTCCCCCTTGTTTTAACAGGGGCACTGTGGCTTTTGGTGTTCCATAACCCTAGCCCTGACATAAACAGTTAACTGCCCTCTCCAGTTCAGGGGCAGAGTAACATGGCCCTGTGGTTTCTGGGACAAGACTGATTTGACCTTTGGCTTCTAGTATAAATGCTGAGAAAAGGAGGACCGTGTTTGGACATACTTAAAACATAAAACTTGAGTTAGAAATTGCCAAATGTTTTCTTTTTCAAAAATTTATGATGTTTTAATCCTTCATTTTACTGCAAGTATGTTATGCTGAGTTGTTAGTACGTAGCCTTCAAAGCACCTTTCATTACACAACTAAACCCTGCTTTCTCTACTTCCTCTAATGCCCTGTTTACTTTTCATTACAATTAAATATTTTAAAAGTTCTAACTCTGAATCTGGAAGCTAATAGAAGGCCTGCAGGTATCTAGTTTTCTAATGAAATAACTTGTCTTTTTATAGCCTGTCCTTCTGATACGAACTCCATTGAGGGAAGGGAATCTCCCAACCACAAAATCTTTGGTGCTTTGATGTTTGAACCTTTATGGCTTAAGATTCTTAAAACTGATTTTGTTTCTACAAATCTTGCTAGGGTGGCTAATCGACTAATTTGTTGAATTAGTATATTAATTTCTACTGCTTTCTTCCTTTCAAATGCTGCCCCTCAGCCCGTCTGGCATGTTTGATTATGACTTTGAGTAAGTTTGATTTGAATTAGTATTTGTGCTGTGTTGTTTAGTGTGTAGAGACCAATATGCCTTTTTGAGACCTTTCTAACCCGTAGTTTATCTGTTTAATTGTAGGTATGTATATTAGGTTAGGCTGGGAAGTTTTTTTTAAAAACAGAAAAACGTGATGGAGGTAACATTTTATTTAATAACTTAAGCAAAATTAAGTAAACTTCACTTTTATGCATTTTAATTTCTTTAAAAATAGATAACCTTTACTTTAATTCATACTTAAATTGATTTCCTGGCTTTGCTTCATAAGGAGGTTAATAGTTGAAGAGCGTGATACTGTGCTTTGGAAAATTTAAAAATTGAAATTTGTGTGATTTCTTTTGTGTCTCATGTCCAGAAACACAGACTCCTAGCCTCTTTCCTGTTCATAATCGCTCTGGGTCTCAGTGATTATCAGCGATCCAGTTGTAGAGCTAACACGTTTGTTAACGTAGAGCATGCCCTCTTAATCCAATCTCTTTAACGTGTAATTTTGGAGTAACTTTTAAAAATGATACGGCTTTCATAACTGCTGTAGTATGTTTCTTTTTGAGTCATTTAAGTTTACCTTGTGGCAAGAGTATCTGCTCATGTTTTTAATAAATACTTGCTTAATAATATCTGGGTAAACAAATACACATGACATAGTCTAATGAAGAATGTGGATTCTACTTAACCAGGTAGTCTTTGTTATAGCTTGTGCCCTATGCAGTAGCTGATTCTTGGATCCCTTTTCTGTAAATTAAAATGCAAATATCTTTTATCTTTCCTATCACAGGATTGATCTGAAGTTAAACAAAAAACCACGAGCTGTAAGTATCAGCCAAACCTTTTCAGAAAGCTGGTAATTTTTGTAGATGGTTAGAAAAATGTATTTGTCTTCAGAGCTTGAGTCTTCCTAATCTGGGGTCCCAGCTCTCATTTTAAAGTCTGGGGTGTCCATCTGGATACACTTCAACTTTTGGGTTTCTTTTCTTTATATTTTGGAGCAAGAAAGGGGTCACACATTTTTCCTGAAGAAAAATTCCCTTTGATTAAAAAATAAACTGTTAATACTAGCTTCTCCCCTACCCCCAGCCCCCGACTGGTGAGCTCTCAGAAGGTCTCCTAAGGGCAGAACTCAGGTTTCAGTACCTTTGTGGACTCAGAATACAGGCCATTTTCAGATGTGAAATATTGTCTGTTATATTTTGAAATAGAATCTTTGGCTACAGAGCAAGCAATCCCCTGGCAGAGTTGTTCATGAGAATTTTGTTCTTAGATTCAAACCAGTGTTCTGCTGAGGGTAAGCTGGGACCTCGTCTCTCTCTCTCCAGGACTATTAGAAGACTGCTAATGCCCGAGCTCCCCGGCCGTAGAGCCCTGCTCCCCTCCTCCGACCTCGCAGAGAGAAGCTTCCCTCACCCGAGTGCGTGACCGTCCACCGCTGCTTCCCCAGACCCGGCGCCTGTGACTCTGAGTAGTTTCTTCTGAAATGTGACAAACAAGTCATTTCTGTAAGACCACATCGGATCATTTACTTTGTGTCATTTTTAGTAACAGAACTGCAGAAAGGCCCGAGACATGGTTATAATCCCAGCAAGTTGCTAACCGTGCGCTTCTCCCTTCTTAGAATGAATGTCTCCCCCCTAAAACTGGCTGGCACCAGCTTCGTCCGTGATACGCATCAAGCAGTGTTCTCTGGGCTTCCTGAAACTAGAACGCAGGTCACATTTCAGAGGGAGGCTGTAAATATCTGGTGTTTTCTTATTTTGTTCGTGTTTTATCATTTTTCTATTATTGTTTTTACCATCTTATTTTCTTCTGGGACTTTTTGTAATGCCATTGTACAGCTCATATCTTCCTGCTGACATATCTGATCATCTGTTTCGTGCAGTTGCCAATACTCTTAACTGAAAACAATCTGGTTTACCATAAGTAAAATGGGGACTTGGCTTTTTGTTTTTCTGCAGGGGGAAGGTAAAGAATGTTTATTTAATATTTACCTATCTTAAATCTTTCTGAGTTGGAAGCAGTTTCATGTTCAAGGAACAGGAAAAGCTGAAAAACATAAATTTAAATCAGTCTTTTTAAAATAGATATTTTTATTCTTTTGTATAAATAAAATTTCACAGGCTTTGTCTTCTCATGCTTTACTTTTAAACCCGAGATTGTTTTTTCACTTATTTATTCGTATCATGCCTTATGGAAATTTCTCTTTTTCCGTCTTTTCTCTCTTTGCTGGTATTTGCCTGATTAAAAATTGCTCTAAAAATCACTAAGGCACATGGAAAGGCCCCAAATTGTCCTCGAAGCCGATAACGTCTGGAGATCTTGAGCAGAGTGAGTGACAGGATCTACGAGAGGCTGCGATGCCCACGGATGCCCTTTCCTTACAGGGGTGGATGGGCTACGAACCGGCTGATGGTTGTTACCTGCCTCTGGAGCAGTGGTGATCCACCTCGGCTGCACATTGGAATCACCTGGGATGCTTAAGAAAGTACTGATGCCTGGGTTCTACCCCCTGAGATTGTGACTCGGGTACAGTCTAGTATTGTGGGGGCATTCTTTCAAGGAGTCCCTGGGATTCTGGTAAGAAGCCAAGTCGAGAACCGTTGCATTAGGAGACTGGGTGGTTCAATTTAAATCCTATGTTGTGAATCCGTTTAAGGGATAAGATTTGGGGCCTCAACTTTCCTTTGATTCTGCTTAGTCGTAGTCCTTTACTTATGCCCGTATCTTTGTTAGAAAAAATACATTCCGTTTGTGATAATATTGGTAGAACTGAAATATGGATGGTGTCTATTATCAGAACACATCTACCTTGTCAGATGTGCAAAAGCTTTCACTCTTGTTCTCAAATAAACTTTTTTTTGGACTCTGCCTATTTAGATGTTTTTGGCTGTGTCTTTGGTAGCAGAGCTTCAATGTCAGGGATTTTTAAGGAAATGATTTCTTATGTATAGATTGTTCCTTAGGACAGCAACAACAAAACTGTAAACTAAAAACAGTGAAAACAAGGAGCTTTCTGTATACTTTTTTGTTAGTCTGTCTCCTTTCCTGGGAGAGGGAGGTAGGATCCCTGCAGTTTCCTTAACTCTGAGGAAAGCATACGGCAGATCTGAAAATATTCCTGACTCTCATAGTGTGACATTTGCTAGAGCTGTGTTAGGACTACTCAGGTATTATTTAAAAGCATATCTATGTGTGTGAATACCTGTGTGTACATATACTCAAGATTAGAGACAGGCTGCTTGCTTTATACTTATTTTCTGTATAAAGTGTAATCATTGCTTAGGGGCCCTCCCCCCAGTTTCCTGTGAGTTGGCCAGGTGTGCTGGAGATCCTCAAGTCTCGAGAGTCTTGAAATGTTGCTTAGGGAAAAAATGTTTTCCCTACATTGGGGTGGTTTGGGGAAAAAATGGCCAAGGGACCCTGCTTACCATGCTTGTGATATTTGTAACTTTGGTTATAAACTAAGTTTACTTTTGCTTAACTTTAAAAGAGGATAAGGTCATGACTTTGGTCAAGTTATTGACTAGAAGAACAACCGGACCAACGGAGGGACACACTTACTGACAGTTGCCCTTGCAGTTCGCATGGTAACTCTTGGTGGAGGTGGTCTGCTGGGTGGCCAGCGTCCTCCTGTCTTAGCAGCCCCCACCCGCAACCCTGACCTGGAAGGACTGCGGGGGCACTGAGGAGGTGAAGCCCTCCCCAGGTTGCTAGGGTTTGGAGTAGTACTTGGCTTCCAGTCTTTAACCTTCTCATCTCTAAGGTGGTAATGGGTTGTTCGTTGCTCCTTTTGGTCATTATAAGACATCTTAAAAAAGGCCAGCCCTTTATGTCTTATTTTGGGAGGATGGTGCCTATATAGAGCCTCACGAGGAGTCTCAAGTACACTTTCCAGGGGCTGAAGAAATAGTTTATTCTGTTCAAACTCAGAGTGTTCGAAACACCGTCAGACCCTGAGAGTTGAACGTGGAGAACCCACAGGAACAACCCACAAGTAGAAGATAAGAAGCTTTCGGGGGCCTCGGGGAGGGCCTGAGGGAAGGGTCGTGCCCTTGGACACGGCCAGTGTGGGCTGAGGTGGCACAGACTGTCGAAGCTGCTGTCTCCCCATCTTGGGGCCCTCAGAGCACTTTAGGGAATTGATCTGTAAGTAGTTTAGTTCTCCCTGTAACGGAGTTTACACTCTTTTCTTAGAATAAAATCCCTTCCTGTGAGAGGAGGAGGCAGGCATCAGCGTTATTTCTGACTGTGAGGTTGAGCCTTTGGGTGCTGGGGTGGCTTGAGTCCTCTGTATGTATCCTAGGGGTATTCTTGACATTGGGACCCTTGTGCTAAATAAGGGAATTAAATCAAGTACTAAATGGCCTAAGCTTAAAAGCAGTAAGTTTGCTGTTCTGAAGCTCTGTGACTTAGTTTTTGCTTTTATTTTGACTCCTCTACCCCTTAGCCTTACTCCGAATTACAGGAGGCAATATTATGCTAAAAAACTCACCTCTGGGGCCCGACTCGGGGAGTGCTGCCCTGGTTGGGGTGCAGTGTGGAGAGGGAGCGGAACTGTGCTGTGTACACGTTTACTTCTCCAGGCTGGGGTGGTGGTCAGTGCCTGCGAGGGTGATGTGCATGGAAGATGCAGAGACAAGAAGAAGAGACCGGGCTTCTCATTTCCATGTTCACCTAAATTAATGTTATCAGGCCTAAATTTTATAAGCAGTAAGCTTCGTGATTTGAAACAGTTTTCCAGTTGACAAACTACAGTTTTCCACACTGAGATGGGCTGTGGTGGAGTGGCTTCTGATCCTCGCTTCAAAAGGTAGTGGTCCTCAAGGGGGAAGGGGTAGGGGGGTGGGGAGAACAGACCAGGCCTTTGTTATGTTTACTTTCAGGCTCAAGCTTACTGACTTCCCCGCTTTGTGTTATATAACAGACAAAAATATTAGTTCATTAGTACATGCAGGTAATTTATAGATGACAGTGGGTTGAACCCCTAACAGTCAACTATTTTGATCCTCAAACGGCAGTTAGGATGACTGAACAGCATGGACACGTTGCGGGTCGGTATGCCCCAAGTTTTTACTGTTCCTGTACAAGTTTAAACTTTAGAGACCCCTGGCCAACACAGCCCTCCTCTGATCCCCAACCCCACCCTCATAACTTATTTCTATAGCCAAGGAGGCTTTAAAATAGCAAATTTGAATAAGAAATACATGCACATGACGTACATTCAAATGGTACTGAAGTGCAGTCAATGAAAAGTCAGTCCCTCTGCCCTTCTGCTCCCAGTTGTCCTCAGGGACAGTTTCTTGTGCGGCCTTCCAGATGAACCTTGGATGTGTACGAGCAGTACGCACATGTATGGTAGCATACTTTTTTCGACTAGAAATACAGCTTAGGAAATGCTCTGTAAGTGCCGCGGCCTGATTTCTATTGGCTGCCTAATCCATTGGTACCAGAATCCGTCTACCCAGTCCTCTGTTGGTGGTTCTTATGTTGTTTCCCATCTTTGCTGTTCTGGACAGTGTCGTGGTGCCTTACACACATCATTTTGCAAATGTAATTCTTAGCAGTGGGATTGCTGAGCCAAAGGGTTAAAAATACATGGGTCTCCTCATGACTGTCTTCCAGATCACATTAAAAATAGGAATATGTGTACTTTCTTTTCTCCTTTTCCTTTCCTCCCCATCCCTCCAGTTCCTGAGAGTTTTTCTAGGGTCATGTGTTACCCAGAACACTTGCAGTTTCCTGGAACTCTAAACTTTGGAGCAGGCACCTCTGGTGTTGCTTTCCAGGGGGAGCTTCAAATGCCATTGAGAATTCCCAGTTTCTGCTTGCTATCACTTTTCCATATTGTTCGGATCCTGCAGAACATTCTGGTCCTTAGACCCTGCGTTCAGGCCTGGGAGTTAAGCCAGCCCCCTGTTCCCCTGACAGTCATACCAGAAGGCGTCAGCAGGTGGCAGGCAGAGCACCGCAGCACCCCTGGCTGTTAGCGAGGCTCTTTGCTGGTGAGCAGCCACAATCAGAGCCTTTGGGCCCTTCCCAGTGACCTGCCTCCCAGCAACAAGCCTAGCTGGGGGGTGGGGTGGGTTGCCCAATTCTAGTTTTGCAGCCATTTCTTACGTGGGTGAGCAGTTTAAGATCAGCAGCAGCTGCCTTGAATTGGGCTTCAAGAGGCCACACCCCGGGATGACAGCCTGGGGCCTCCCCCTGCTCCAGGAACTAGCCGGAAGGATTTACATACCATGGCCTGGGATGGCTCTGGTTTCCTTAATCGCAGGGCCCTACTTCCTGTCCCTTTCTGCCAACTCTTCCACACCCTTCCCATGAACTAGGAGGTCCCCAGAACAGGCTCTTACTCACCACCCTCCACCCACTCTGCTAGATGGTCTAGAAAAAAAAAATGAGCCAGAGGTTTGAGAAGCCCTGAGACAAAAGTGTTAGGGTCCAGGACTGCCTTCTTTAGGGACAGGAGCCCCTGGGGACCAACTGGGCCCAGGACTTGCGCTGGGGACTCCACCCCTCCCCTCAACTCTAGATTTGAATCTCTTTAAATCCCAGTTTCTCTGGGGCTCACTGTCTCCATAGAGAGCTGTCCAGCCCCTCCTTCAGGGCAGGGGGCTTGCCCTTCTGAGTCAGGGAGACAAACTGTGGCTTTTCCAGGAGGCTTAGGAGGAGGATGGAGAGAGCTGTGCAGTGACTGGTGGCCTCTCCCAGCCCCTTCCCCACACCACCCTGCCAGAGACTAGCGTTGTTTGGGGTGTTAGCAGCACTGGGTGGGGGTGGAGGCTGGTCTGGGAGCTGCTCCTCTGGGGCCCCCAAAGCCCTCCTCCTCCTAGGTTAGTTCTCCAGGTCTTTAAGGGTTTCCTCAGGCTGGTGCAGTGGGATGGGGACAGAGTGGGCATGGACATCCAAGGCAGGGAATTTCACCCAGTTCGTTCTCTTCCAGGGAGGCCGAAGTTTCCAGTCATCCCGCACCCAGAGCGTGGTTAACACATGTGCAGGACAGAACTTGCGAGAAGACTCAGTGTCAGGCCCCTACTGGTGAGGGCCCTGGGGTGGGGTTGGGGGGCCTGTGGAGGTTCCAGGAAGGGCTGGCAGGAGGCCCTCCTCCGTGAGTGCCCCAGGATCCTTTCCCAACCGGGCATGATTTGCATATGCTTTGCTTTCCCCTTTGGCTTCTCAGCTCCTGGAACCAGGAAAACAAAAGGAGGAAAGTGCAGGCAGGGCATGACCTCCAGCACCTCTGTGGCAGTGGCTCCAGTCTCAGGGTCACGTTCGGGCTGGCCACCCTCTCCTTCACACTTAAAAACCCTGCCATGAGCCTCTGGAGGGGAAGTGAGCTGCCCAGGGCCACCCTGCCAGTGAGGGGGACCCAGACCCAGGGCTTCTTTCTCTCATCCTGCCACCACACAAACTGAGGTGTCCGCTTGTCAACTCCAGGGAGAAGTGGAATCGTCGTGTTCCTTTCACAGGTGGGGATGCTGAGGCCTCGTGAAGAAAGATGCTTCAGCGGGTGGGGCTGAAGGTGGTGGGCAGAATTTTGCAGTTAAAACCCAAGTCGTGGGAAAGGAAAATCCTGGGCATTGGGCCTGGCCGCCTCTGAGTGGCTCTGCCTGGAAGCCAGATTGAGAAAGAGGCCTGGAGGGGAGGCTCCAAACCCTGGACAGCCAGCCCAGCCAGGCCAAGGCTGCCGGGAAGGCACAGATGACAAGGCACTGAACTGACTCAGTCCTCCGGGAGCCTGGCCCCAGCACCTGCCGTGTGGGCTCTGCTGCCCTGGTCCCTGTCTGCCAGTGGGCCAGCAAGGCCAGACACGGCCTCCAGATGGTCCCACAGCCAGCCTAGACCTGCTGCCCAAGGCCCACAGCCCACCTGCCTGTACAATCAGCCTCCCTCTCCCTTTCCCACAGAGCTGAAGCAGCAAATGACAAAGAGTTCAGCTCTGGTCGAGGACGAAGTGTGAGCCTTCAAGTCTATATAGACAGTAGGCTGGTGGGATGGGCAGAGGGGTGGAGGCAGCCTACCACGCCTTCCAGGCCTCCCTCGGGGCCTCACGGCCTTCAGGCCCCACTGCGGTGTGCAGACAGAGGTGGCTGGATGGCTGGGGCTGCTGGGGCACCTGCTGCCAAGCAGTGGGGTGGGGTGGTCAGGCCAGCTGTTATGCTGGAGGGTCCCCATGCAGATGTTGTAAACTTACGCGGTTGTGAGGTGGGGAGCTGGGGCACCCCCACCGTCTCCGTCCCTCTCAGGGGCTTTGGAGTCACCACAGATTAGTGTCTGTGGCCCTCCCTTTCTCAGGTCTATTTGGCTAGGGGACCCCAATTCGAGGCCCTCCTCTAGTCTCTCTTCCTCCGTGGGACCTTGGGCAAGTCACTCAGCTGTGTCAGTGGCTGATAATGAACTGGACAGTCTGGTATTTTAGCTTTCTGTCCATGAAAACAAAGGCCCGTAAATAGCCTTTAATCTGGAATACAGTTCTTGACTGGAAAAAAAATTCAATGACATTCTTTTTTTTAATTTAATTTTAATTTTTTCATTTTTTGGGGGGGGAGGTAATAGGTTTATTTATTTACTTATTGTCAGTTCTATTATCTGCTTTAAAAAAATTTAGGTATAGTCAGTTTACAATGTTGTGTCAAGGTTAATTTTTTTCCTTTTTTATGGCAGTCCTGGGGATGGAACTGAGCCTCGTTCATGCTAAGCACGTGCTCTACCACTGAGCTCTACACCCTCCCCCTGGCAACGACATTTCTTTGTGCAGATAGAACCTCCAGGGGCGGCAGGATGCAGCAGGCCCAGGGACCCTAGAAGACCCTGATGTGGGGGCTTGGAAGTAACGTTTGCTGAAATCACTCCCATATTGTGGGAGGACCCCTGACTGAAGGGCAGGCTTCTACAGAGCATTTGGGGCAAAGAGCAAGCGGGGGCCTAATGTGCAGAGAGATGGCTGGGGTGGCATTTCCTTCAACATGCTGCATAGCTGTTCTAGGGTAAAGCAGTGTCTAGAAAACAGCAGATACTATAAAAGCTTCACAAACAGTAAGTACAGATTAGGTGAGATGTTCAAAGATACAATGATTAAAACTGTATTTTTTCCATTTTCCTGCTGATGGTGTTTGGCGATCATCTGACAGCCCAGGTTTCATTTAACATAAGTAACATTTATACCTCATTTTTTATCTTAAAAAATAAAACAAAGCTATGTATTCCTGCCTGTCTTCTTCCCCTCCAGGGGCAGATGGGAAGGTTGAGATGACGGAGGCCCTTTAACGAGCACCCAGCATGGACAATCTTGTGTTCTCTCAGAAGGTACCACCCTGTAGGGTAGGTACCATCATCATCCCCGCTTGATAGAGACCCAGAGAGGGGTAGTCACTTGCCCCGGGTGACACAATTGGTGACAGAGCCAGTTCTTGAGTCTGGGGCCAGGAACCCTAACCTCCTGCTTGGGGGTTACCCTGGCAGGGCCTCTCTAGGCTGATTCCGCCCGCGGCCCCTACTCTGCTCTGGGCCTGGTGCAGGGTAAGACTTGGGTGGACAGGGGAGAGCTGAGCCCACAGGGGCCTCCCCACCACACCCCTACTCCACAAGCTCTCCCAGAAGCCAGCCAGGTGGTTCCCATGCTCGTTCCTGACCCCAGGGTAAAGAAAGGGGACACTCCCCCTCCAAAAGCAACCCGTCCCCACACCGCAGCCTCAGGACAACAGGATGCTTCCTGACACCCCATCTATCCATGTGTCCCCAGCCATCTCTTTTCAAGGCCTGACCCAAGGCCTCAGGAAGGATGCCTTTGCTCCTGGGGGATGGAGCACTCTCAGTGGAACTCAGAAACCTTCCTTCCAGTGAAGAGTCAAGGAATTGTTGAGGAGGGAGATAGGGCAGTGCCCACCTGCTGACCTTCCATCACCCAGAGGCCAGCTCCATCCCCGAGCGCAACAAAGACCATCACCTCTTAGAGGGGTTGTACTTTATTGATGTGTTAAGGGAAGCAAGGACTTTCCACTTGAAACATTTAAAATGTTTACATCCGAACAACAAATACACACATCTCCTGGGGGACAGGTGAGATTGCTCCAAGTACAGAGGAAGGGGGAGGATGAGAAAATGGGGGCCAGAATGCCCTTGACCCCTGAGGGGGACAATGGGACAGGTAACAGAGTGGGACAGAAGGTGGGTTATTAAGAAGCATCTTGCTTACTAACATGAAGCCTCGTGCCTTTGAGAGCACAAATGAGGCCTCATTGGCTTAGAGGAGGGCCCATGAGGGCGGGCACACGGTGCCCAACTAGCCAGCCAAGGCCAGCATCCCAGGGACAGGGCAGAGGTGGGGGGCTGTGCACAGGGCCCCCAGCCCAGGCCTCTGCTTCCCCCTGCCTCCCTCCCCGCCCTCTGAGAGAAAGGAGGGTTTGGGCCTCAGCCATGGACCGATGGCCGTTACTGGCAGCGTCTCTTTTTAAACTACAGAGATACAATGTGCATCAACAGGGTGATCACTTCTGACCCCTCGGGCAGACGGCAAGAGGTGCCGAGGGGCCAGAACCAATCCTACAGTATCTTTGGTTTGTAGGTTCCCTTTCCTACTTTAATCCTCCCTCTGTCCAGCCTCTGGGGTGGGCCTCGGGGCTGGGGCTGGGCTGCTCGAAGGCCTGAAGCCCGGCCTGGCAGCCCTTGGAGGCCGGAGGCGCTGCCCTTGCAGGTGGGCTGGCTTACTCGCTGAGGTGCTGGGACTTGTAGGAGAGGATCTCGGCGGCCAGCTGCTGGGGGTCCAGGAGCTGCGGGAAGCGCCCCATCACGGCCTCCACCAGGTGTGGGGGGAAGACGCCACACAGCTTGGTATACACGCTGGCTCGCTCCTTGGCCAGGCTGCCCGCCCCACCCCAGGGGCCCCTGTCAGTCCCTGGGCCCGGCACCCGAGGCTCCTGCAGGACTGGGGTGGGTTGGGGCAACTGGTATGGCTCAGACCAGTACTCTCGAGGTGGATAGGCGGCTGGCGGGGGTGCATAGTCAGCAGGGACGCTAAAGTGGCCGGCACCCATGGCCCGGCCAAAGGCAGAGAAGGCCGGAGTGGCTGGGAGCTCGGCCCCGTAGGGACGGTAGCCAGCGTACGGGCCCCGAGGTGGGCCTGGCTCACCAGGGCTGCCTCCTCGAACTCCCCACAGTTCTGACATCTGGCTCTCCAGGGAGCCGATGCCCGAGTCCAGGCACTCCTGGGAGGTGTATGGGAGGGAGTCCAGGGTCTGCGAGAACCAGTCAGAGGGCCCAAAGCTGCCGCCACTGCCCCCACTAGGTGGGAGGCTCCTGCCCGTTGGGGCGAAGGTCTGTGGCGGACCCGTCCCGGTGGGTTCCCAGGGTGCCTGGGCCCCAGCTTCTTCCCGTCCAGGCTGCGCTGCTCACGTTCTGTCAGCAGAGAGCCAGGCTGAGATGAAGGTGAAGGCCGCCGGCCACTTCTGTCCTTGCTCGGGGGCCTGGGCGGTGAGAGGAGGGCGTTGGCCCGGAGCTCATCAGCTACAGAGCGCTGGGGGCGGCTCGGTCGCTCCGGGTGGAAGAACCGGCACTTGATTCCGTAGGTGCACTTCCTCCCTGCGAGAGAATGAAGAAGGCCCTCAGCAGGGGCGTCCACAGCTGGGGTTGGGGGTCCTCAAGAGGAAGAACTCGGGGTGCAGGCTGACTTAGGTGAGAGAGGAAGGGAATGACAGAGTGAGGAGGGCCCTGGAGCGTGGAGTTCTTACCATAGGGACACGGCTGCTTCCTGTGCTCCGCCGTGAGCGGCTTCTTACGCAGGAAGTTGTCCAGGCTCGGCCCGTGCCGGCCCAAGGGGTCATCAGGGGGCATGAACCTGCAGAGGAGGTAGGAGGCATGAAGGGGGACTTCCCAGTGCCAGGGAGGGGGCTGCACAGGGAGCCTCGCTAGGAAGAGTAGGAAGGCAGCTCCTAAAACTGGCGTCTGCCCAGCAGGACATCCTGGGCGGGATGGCTTCAAGGAAGGGACGTCCCAGTCCAGAGGGCCACAGCCATGGGCGCCTTTAGGGCAACTCTCCTGCTGGGAGCTCTCTGACTCAAAGGCTGCATCCACTGGCCTCTGGTCAGAGCTTCAGTGCTGGGAACTGGAGAGGTCCTCTTGGAACCACTGACCACATCCTGTCCCAAATGCTACTGCTCCATCCTACAAATTATAAAGCCTGACCTTTCCTATGTGGAGCCACGTCCATCTTGCTCTCAGAGCTGCCAGAACCCAAGGCCGTGGTCCCCCAGCAGAGCTCCCCCAGCCCTGGCCCTCCTGGGAGCGTCTCTGGCCATCGAGTCCCTTCCTGGCGGGGACGTACTTGTCATTGACGAAGGAGTACATGAGAAGCCGCTCCTCGATGAAGCGCTTCCACTCCTGCCGCTCGCTCTGGAGGTCCCGGTAAGTGTCATTGGACACCACGATGCCATCGGACTCGAAGGCCAGCTTCACGATGAAGCGGTCATCATAGCACACCACTCGCTTGCCACCCACGCGCCGCGACGGGGTGAACACCAGGATCTTTTTCTTCTCCAGTTCCCGCAGGATGTGCTGGTCTGGGAGGTGTCAGGGGTGGAGGTCAGGATCCAGCCCGGACCTAGAGCCAGCCCTCAGGGCTCCCTGACCCCGTGGTGGCCAGGCACTGGGTTCTGAACTCCAGGGTCAACTCTGCGAAGGCCACCGCCACATCCCAGTCCCTCACTGGGCCTGGTGCAGAGTTTATGGCCAAAGACCAAGAACCCCTGAAAACAGGCCAGCAGGTCCTGCTCCGCAAAAGCTCCAAAGTAGAGCTGGGCCACCTCCCTCCCCGTCCTGGACACCAGGCTCGGGTGGGCCCAAGGTGAGCTTGGCTTTGGTACTCACCCAGCCTGTCCCTGAGAGATTAGAAAGGAGCCCCCGCTTAAGCTGGGACGAGAGCAGTGTCTCAGCTCTGTCTCCTACAGAGCTAGGACAGAAGGGACCGCTTTTCCTGGAGTGAGTGGCCCCAGCCAGCTTGCCTCCAGATCTCAAGACTTCTAGGGAAATAAACTTGGGTTTTTGTCCCAAAGGTGGGTACTTGTGTAAGAGCAATGTTAACAGGTGGCACTGGCTGAGCATTTGCTGTGTGCCAGGTGTTCTTCTGAGCACTTCCATGTATTAAGTCATGCGATCAACCCTGCAAGGTTATCAAACCCTCACCTCATCCCACGTCTCAAGATGAGGAGCAGGTGGCTCAGCCACTACGCCACACTGCCCCTGTACCACAAGGCTGTGGAGACAGCATGCAACCACCGGGTGAGGGAGATGCCTGGTACTCGGAGGCAGAGGCTGCTCCAAGGATCACTGTTCAGAGCAGGAATGCTGAGGACAGCCAAAGCTGGGAAAAGCGGGGACTGAACGCTAGTCCCTCCTTGGGGCCTCAAAGCTGCTGCATACCCCAAGGGTCTCTCTTGAAGGGAACCAGGGCTCCTGGGGCAGTGAGACCACCCCTCTTCCAGAGGTGCCACTCACCTGTGATGGGCATGTCAGGCCGAGGCTGCTCCTTCCTCCAGGATGGTACAAACACTGTGATGTCTGTGTGGCCCCGCTCCAGAAACCAGTTCACCGCCAGCAGGATACCCCGGCAGGAGAAGACCTCCTTGTTTCCGTGGCTGGGGAGGAGAGGAGGGCCGGATCAGCCTGTGGGCCTTGCCCCAGGCCTGCACAGAAGGAGGCGGGCTGCACTCCAGCCCCTGCCCTGGCTGGGGACCCAGGGCCTGTATTCCCTGCTGGTTCCCACAGCGCCGGGGATGGCCAGCCCCGGGACTTTCCCTGAAGTGTCTCCTGACAGTGAGGAGACGCCCAGGAATCTGGCAGCACCCGCTCCCGACGTGGGGGAGGGTCAGGCCACTTACAACACACCTGGGGGTGGGGGAAAGGCGCTGGGACCACGGGGACACAGATGTACACAGGCCGACTGAGTCACCACCCCTCCCTCGCCTGCTCAGCAGGGCTGCGGGTGGGGACAGGGGAAGAGAAACCAGATTGTTCCGGATTAAAGTTGGATTAAAGTTCAGTCCTGAATAGACCCAGACCTCAGGGCTGGGGCCGAGGAGAAGGAGCCTCGATTCAACCTTCAACTTGGGGCAGAAGGCTGTGGTGGGGCCTTTTAAGCCTGAAAGTGAAAGGATGCTGCTTTTCCTCCCAAGACTGCCAATTCCCCAAAACCCCAGCCTGCCTTCCTCTCCTCACCCTTCCAGGGAGAGCATGACCCAAGGCCAGAAGATGTTCTGAAAGACAGTGGGGCCTCTGCCAGCAGGAGGGCCTGGAGATGGGACATTGCCCTGCTGCAGTCTAATGACCAGACCTCGCCCCATCCAAAGGTGGCTGGACCCAGAAGCAAGTGCTGACGTTGCTCTGGCTCAGTTTCTCTATCTGAAAAATGGGCCTGGGAGTCTGCTGCTTCCCTAGGAAGGGTCCATGTCAGTGGGACGATGTTCCTGTTTGCTTGAGGCCAAAGACAGTCCAACACCGTGGAAGCTCCAGCTAGCTTCCTGGGAGGGTGGGAGGGTGCAGGGGCTCCCAGGTAACACTAGGTGTCATGGGTGCACTCCAGGACCAGCTGAGGGGGCCCCCTTCCCCACAGCCTCTGCCCCTCGCTAACCTCTCAGTGAGCAACTCAGACTCATGTATTTGGCAAATAAAACAATAAACGTTACGCAAAAGAGGCAACTCCATGGCCGACCACATCCTGTGGGTGGCTTTGAGGGGGGTGATAGCGGGAGCCCCGAGGGAACATAGCAAGGGAGGTGGGGCAGCTGGGGGGCATGGAGGCTCTATGGGAGTAAGGTTGGGGTTCCCAGGACTTAAGGTCTCTGTAAATTGTAGGGGAGGCAAAGTCCAGCCCAAAGACAGTGCTCATCCCTGCCAGGTGGAGCCCCCCTGCCATCCACCAGCATGCTTGAAATGAAAGTTAACATTTACTACTGAGAACTGTGAGCCAGGCCCTGATCAAGCAAGCCTCTGAGGGTGGTACTATCATGAAAGGCCCCTTGCCCCTTTATTCAGACTAGGAAGTTGGTCCACAGAGGGCAACTGGTTGCCAGCATCACAGCAGCATTTGTGGAACAGATGCAAATAGAGACTGTGCTCACGACCATGAGTGCTGATGCTCAGACAGGTACAAAGACAAGTGCCAACCCTGACAGCGGACTGGAGCGGGGATTAGCAGGTGCCCAGTTCGTACTGGAGACCACGCACATCACCCACCCCCTTGCTTCATCCTTACGAGGCTCATCTAAGGTTCTCTGGCTACTGGTAAGGGACAGAACTTGAACTCATGTCTGGGGGCACTGGACTGCCTTCCTGCCCCAACAGAAGAGTTGAGTTTATTTAGGAGGGAGAAAAAGCTCCCAAGCTTGAGTCTGAACAAAGTGTTAAGAGGGTGGGGCAGGCTGGGAACAGGTTAAATCATGCATCTGGCAAACTCCTGCTCTGTCAGGACCCAGGTGGTGTCACTGCCTCTGAGAAGCCTTCCCTGACTTGACAGGATGGGTTAGGTCCCTGGTCTGTCTTCACAACGCCCAGGGCTTCCCCCTGCCCTCAGCCTTCTGCTGTTTCCCCAAGAGTGGGGGTATGACCATCTCTGGCTTGTCCCTGTCTTAGGTACAGTCTGTACATGCATGTATCTACCTCCTTGTACACACGTGTGAATGGCTATGCCCCATCCCAGGCCAGCATCTTCAAGCCCTGGGACAGTGGGACACCAGGTCTTCCAGGACAGTGTACTGCTTCTGGGCATCAGAAACCTTGGCTGTGGACTAGTCTGCTGTCAGCTGTCCTGGCCCACAGAGCACTCCCCAAGCAGGTAGTCAGAGCCCTACTCTTGGCAGTAGTAGAACACATGTTCTAGTCTCTCCTGCCAAGCCCAGATACTGCCCTCCCAAGCCAGGAGTGCCTCCCTACGACTAACTTTAGTCCCTCTCGCTGCAATGGAGGAAGCTCTGCTGGCATAGGAAAACCAGACATCCTCCCACCCTCACTGCAGTCCTGTTCCCCAGAAAGTCAGGGCCCCCTAGCCTGGCTAAGGAGACACTGGTGAGACTCACTGGTGTGATCCCACAGGCAACTCCAGCTCAGTGGCTCCCGCCCCAGGGCAGAGGGCAGGGCTGAGCCAGGATACCCAGGTGAAAAGATCTGCCCCAGCTGGGCCCAGCTAGTGGAGAAAAATTCCCTTAGAAGGAAACAGAGGTGAATTTCCCCACGATTTGCATATAGTAGGGGCTGGCCCGCCTGCCCCTGGCGGGGAGGGGGCAGAAGGGCAGGAACCCAGTAGCAGCTGAGACAGGAAGTCTGAGGCTGGAATTCCCCTCTTGCTGCAGCCCCGGCTCAGAAAACCCCTGCGGCTCGGTCACCCCCAGCGCCACCTGCCCCTCCTCCTGTCCTGGCCCCTCCTCCTTCGGCTGGGATACAAACACACAAGGCACATGGCTGCCCCTGGGGCTCCACGGCATTCCGGCCCAGCCCACGTCCCTGGAGGACGGAGTCACCCACCCGTCCCAGCTCCTTACCCAGCCAAAAGCTGCTGGAACCTGAGAGAGATCCCCTAACTCTCAAAACACATGTGACCAGCTGCCACTGGCCTGTAGGAGTCAGCTTTCCTCAATTTCCATCCAGGCTCAGCTCATTTCAGAGGTGGGAAGACTGACCCAAAGATGGCCAGAAAGAGGCTATCTGGACCTCCGCTGACCTAGGCTAGGCAGGACCAGTCTGACAGCTGGCTTGGCCCAGGTGGGCCAGGTGTGGGAGAGGCAGAGGTGCCACAGGCACAGAGGCACACAGGCAACCATTCAGGAGATCCTTCAGGGAAGCCAGGAATCCCTTCCCACTCCACACCTGTGCCTGGGGTCTCCCTGCCCACACCCATAGGAACTTTTCCTTGTGAACCATCCGCCCAACCCTGACTCACCAGCCTGCCTTGAAAGGACTGGGAGAAAGTGGGGCCAGAGGGCAGAGCTTGGATGGAAGGGAGGTCTGGGCAACCTGGGATCAGTGGCAGCCCTGCCCACCCCCATACCATGAGAATCATGAGAACCTAGAGGAGAAGGGGGGACGGCTACCTGGGCTGAGTCCTGGGAGCCCCCAGAGCCCAGTCCAGCCCAGGTGGCTCCAGCTGAAGCAGAGGGGACCCAAGTCACAGCTCATCTGAAGCCAAAGCATCAGGCCACCTGCCTGCACCCCTGATGTAGAGTCAGACCCTTGAGGTTACTTTTGGTCACAGCTACACAGGCCTCAGGGGCTAGGCCTGCTTCCATGGGAGCCCAGGTCTGGGAACAATAAGGCCTCAGAAGTCCCAGATCCTGGATAACAGTAATAATAACTGTTAACAGTAATAACAATCAGGACTGCTGATTCCTGAGCCCTTACTTCTTTCCAGGTTCTGGGCATTCACCCCTCACAACCACCACCTGAGGGGTGGGCTGGCCCCATCTCATGGATGAGGAATGAAGCCTCCAGTATGAGTAAGCTGGAGCCCACGGTCTGATCCCTCACACCACATGGCCTCACATCACAGAGGAGGAACTGAGACTGCGAACGCTGGCTCTCATGAAGACCATAAAGGAGCTCTGGAGACAGGACCTGAGTTCAAATCCTTGCTCCAGCACTTACCAGGAGTGTGACCTGATCAACTCTTTTGAGCTCCCCAAATATCCCTAAAAACCCACTTCCAAGAAGCCATGAGGATTCAAGAGCCTCCTGGCATACAGTAGGGCCTCCAGAAAGGGCTTTCCCTTCCTCTAGACCAGTCTCTGAGAAGAGGTCAAACTCCTTCCTGAAGTCCTCTCTACCAGAGGTGCAGAGACACACGGCCACGATTCCTGGCCACAGTCTTGGCCACAGAAGTGACATGTACCTCATGGCCACGTTGCTCCCATCAATGACCACGGGCCTCAGGTCACTGCCCTCCTTGTCCTCCTCGGGGGGTGAGGGCTCCAGGATGGGAGCCTTGGGGGTGCCTCCACCCCGGGGCACCAGAGGAAGCTGAGGGCTGGGGTCTGGTGACACCTGGCGCTCCCGCTCCGCCGCTGACCCATGTTTCACCAGCTCGCCCAGCACTGTGTTGGTGTCCGCCTGGACCCCCAGCTTCTGTAGAACGCTGTGGATCTCAGCAGAGGAGTAGCCCAGCTTCCGGAAGAAGTCAACTTTCATCTGCAGCTCCGCAGTTGTCGCCTCCTCCGCGGTGGGCTCCTGGGCCGGCCTGGGGGGTCCCTTGGCAGCTGTGGCAATCTTCAAGTTCCCACAGACTCATGGCGGGGCTGGCTTCCTGAGTGGGCCTCTTTCCACTGGCCACTCACAGCTCAGACCACTGGAAGGTACCTGTCACAGCTCCTGTAGGCCAACAGAGAGGGTTAGGGATGGGGAATGGCTCTCTCACCCCTCTCCTGCCCCGCCCCTCGAACGGGAGAAGGCCACACTGAGTGGCGGCAGTAGGCAAAGCCATTTTTGATTGTTACCTTGTTACCCTCTCAACAGCCCTCCCAAGCTAGGGATCGTCATTCCCATTATGTAAGGGAGGAGCCTGAGCCACAGACAATTCAGAACTTGCTCAAGGTCATCCAGCTGTTAGCTGGTAGCGCACGGATTTGAACTCAGGCAGTATGACTCCTCCTCCCACTCCACCCCCAGCGGCCCCGCCAACTCAGAGGACCCAGAAGTCGTGGGAGGCCTCAGAGGACCTTGCCGCGCCCCCACCACTGCTGGGCGGAGCTCTCGATGGAAACCCACGGGGCTGGAAGTGAGGTGGTGGGGCGGGGGCTTCCCCGTTGAAGCCATTGCCTCTTCTCGCCCGCCTGCCCCGTGCCCGGAGCCCAGGCCCAGGAGGCGCAGGGTCCGTGGCCCGGACTCCCGGACTAGGGGAGGGGAAGTTTCCGGCTGACCCACCAGCGAGAAAAGTTGCTGGGAAACTCTGGTTGGCCTCCGGGCTCGGTGACGCGGCGGCTGTCCCGGCCCAGAGCCCCGCTCTCGCTCGGCTTCCCCTCCGAACCTAGGTCTTCCTACCTCCAGGATCGCCTAACTTGCGCTAAGTTGGAGGGGGTCCCGG